ATGTAGTATTCTAAGCGTTATTAGGCTGGGTCTTCCCCCAAAAGGTGATGACTTCCTTTAGTATGTCAATCTCAGAATGAAAGAGGCACTTGCCCAGGTTCAGATAAATAAGGTGTCCAGTTTAGGGCAGGTGAACTCTGTGGTAAGAGTATGGTATCAGGGCACAGGGCTGCACAAGGCACACTGGACGGAACAGAGTAAGACGATCCAGTGGTGTCTAGAATGTGAATAATACACAGTGTATTTTTGTTCGATGATTAGAAAGGAGAAAGAGGCAAAGCTGCGATCCCAGGCTTGGGAAAGGCTGATCTGATGCATGCTGTGAATATGAGTCGACTTACTGGCGAGCCAAGTCTTTCCTGGAGAGCATTTTTGACCAGAAGTGGTAGACAAACACCCTGGTCCCTGGTTGGAAAACATTACCCCAGGTTGATGAATTGGTGCTCTTAGGCTAGGTCTGGGTGTGGAATGAAGATAGATAAGCAACAACTGTGAATTAGGTTGAGTGTGAAGAGGAACACTCAGCTTGGGAAAGGAAACAACCCACATTTGCAATGCGTCCTCCTGCGCCAGATTGAGCACCTCGAGGTTTATCTGCACACAGTTGGTTTGTACTCCAAGATTTCTTCACATTCTAGTAAAGATTAACCTTGCCCTTGAATGAACTTGGGCTGAGCTGCCGAAACAAGCATTTGGGCATGCCCAGGATTGCAAAATGGAAACAAGCCAGTGAACCCTGAAAATCTGCCCTTTTTTGGCTCACAGACACTGACAGTAGAAAGTTAGGCTGGAACTGGCTGGGGTTATATTGGTTCGTGTCCAGTGAGGTCAGTAGCCCAGTGGCTAGGTCTGTTCCAGAATGACCAACGGTGTTCGCTCTGACCAGTTTCTCTAATTCAGGCGAAGTATCTTTTCTATCCCCCACCAAGAACAAGAACCCCAGTCTCACCTTGGAGGTTCTGATTCTGACCGCTTACATGCTGCGAACCTGACCCACCAACGTGCAGAGAAGTGGAGTGCAGCTAGGAATCTCTTCCCTCAGCCCTCTCCTGCAGACCAGCTGACTTGCAGGCCCTGGCAGCCCCACTGAAAGCTCTTACTCTCCTCTGTGTGACATACCACAAGTGACCTAGGTCATGGCTGTCCCTACTGCCTGTGTTTGACCAGCTCATTGATGACAACAGATCTGAAAAGTGTCAGGATGTTACCCATTTCTATTACAGCCATGTTTTAGTAGGGAACTTTGAACAAGGCTGAATTTAAAGTATTAAAAACTAAGTTTCCAAAGTCAAGTCAGTGTATCTCAGTAATCCTGTGTAGTCTAAATTAGATTTTTTAAAGGAGGGAAGGTGCCATAGGTTATAATCTCTCAAAATCTCTGAGAGCTAAACAGCCTATAAAATATGAAAGTTGTCATTTACCATCTCTAAAACTCCACTGGCAGTAATGGTTTGGATGTATTTAACTTCTGATAAACAATGATAAACATTCACTTTATCACTCCTGTCAGTTCGTGTGAATCTTTCAGTCCTCTAAAGCATTAGCTCTTTTCTTTTTTAACTCCATTTCTGTCAACAAGAACAGGAAAATATTTTGTTTATAAATGCTATTTGCAACCTGGGACCCGTCTTGTTTTATGAACAGATTCTCCAAATCTTCTATCCCTTTGAACACGGACTTACTCTACTCTCATGCTTAAGCTCCAGAGCCATCCGAGAGCCTGATGCAGTAGACAGACCAGCATGCTGGCATCGGATCACTGGAGCCAGTGGCCTTCTCCAGTTCACTTGTTAACTTCTCAGCTGCAGATCACTTTTGTACTGCAGTGACTTGTGAACATTAATTTTTTTCTTTCCAGATAATGCATTTTACAGTATTTTATTTTATTTTAGAGACAGAATCTTGCTGTTGCCCAGACTGGAGTGCAGTGGCGTGATCTCGACTCATTGCAACCTCTGCCTCCTGGGTTCAAGTGATTCTCCTGCCTCAGCCTCCCAAGTAGCTGGAATTACAGGTGTCTACCACCACGCCCGGCTAATGTCTTTAGTAGAGACTGGGTTTTTAGTAGAGATGGGGTTTCACCATGTTGGCCAGGCTGGTTTCAAACTCCTGACCTCAAGTGATCCACCCACCTCGGCCTCCCAAATTGCGGGATTACAGGCGTGAGCCACCGCACCTGGCTGAGATATGCCTCTTATATTAAACTTCATGTTATACATGAATATGTTCTTTTATTCAAAACTTCTCTCATGTCTGAAATATTTTAACCTGCTTTCCCTTGTTTTTGTTTTATTCTCAATGACTTCTAAAAATTCATCAATAAGCCTTAATTCTTTAACTGTCAAATATTTCTATTCTTACCTCTACAGACTCTACAGATGATGCTTCCAAAACTTAATTCCAAGGTTTTAACAACTCTGGATCTTTCTAGGTGTCCCTAAGTTTATGCACATAGTAGTACATCCTGGAAGTTGTTATGATAGAAAATTTGGCGTGCTTTGTCTATATGGGTTGGAATTTATTTAGCGGTTGTTCCTGATTCTAACAATTGTTCCTGACTCCAAGATTTCTTTTTTGTTTGTTTGTTTTTGAGATGGAGTCTTGCCGTGTCGCCCAGGCTGTAGTGCACTGGCGCCATCTCAGCTCACTGCAACCTCTGCCTCCTGGGTTCCAACGATTCTCCTGCCTCAGCCTCCCAAGTAGCTGGGATTACGGGCGCACATCACCATGCCTGGCTAATTTTTGTGTTTTTAGTAGAGATGGGGTTTCACCATGTTGGCCAGGCTGGTCTCCAACTCCTGACCTCATGATATGCCCACCTCAGCCTCCCAAAGTGCTGGGATTACAGGCGTGAGCCACTGCACCTGGCCAGATTTCTTCAGCTTATTACTCCTACTTCACATTTACTTATATTACTCCCTCACATTTTTACTTTTTTCACAAGTAGAATTTTTTAACATGTTAGCAATATAGGAAAATGTCTTGAAGGTCACACAGTGCCCCTTCTCCTAATTCTTTAGTGAGCCTGAGTGCTCTGGCTCTCTTAAAATTCATTTCTGCCCTTTGAACTCCCCCAACTCTTTTTCTCATTTGAACCACAGTCTGGTTTCTACTGTATTAAAGCAAATTAACCTAGTAAGAAACAGACTGACTTTTTTTACTGGCTACAGTTCTAAGCACAAGTAAAGGGGAAAGGAGACCAAATAAAGAAATAGGAAAAATGAGGCATTGAAGGGGAGCCAACACGGGGTTTGGAAGAGACGAGAGCTTCCGCCATGGCAGGATGTGCCTTTCTTGCACTGTTTACTCTGAGTTCAGAAATAGAGGAGGAAAGAAGGTAGATCATGCCACAGCCTGAAATGGATACGACACATACCAGGGCTCCCATAGAGTGTAATCGGATGCTGAGTGTAATTATGCAAGTGTGTGCATATGAATAAATCATCTTCCTCAACCTCAACACTCAAGGTTGAAGTAAGCATAAGGGCGTGACATGCCAGCCACATAGTGAGTTCACTCAAGAAGCACCTGAGAAATGTCAGGTTTTACTCACTGCACTCCCCCAACTCGGCCGCCAAGTTGCATCTGAATGCACCTTGAACCCTTGATAAAATGAACTTTCAATCTTAAAGACTGTTAGATCTTCCACTCTTTTCCATGGGGAAAGGTGCTACCTGGCTCGAGGAGGTGGGTGGGACAGGGGTTCATTTGAGGAGGATGAATGTGGTGTGTTTGTTTTTATTGTGTTCACCGTAGTGACTTTCAAGCTAGTGGTGTGTTCATTTTATTTTTAATTAAAACATCACCTGGAATGTGTTTTAGTGGTATTTGAAGGCCTGCTGAACAAATGTAACAAAATTACATAAATTTGTTTATGTAAAACATGTGGTTGCTTTGTTTTTTGTAAAATAAATAGAGAACTTCCAACAGATTGTTCAAGGCCCTGGGCCTATCCAGTTAGAATGTTAAGATCCATTCAATGTTAGCATGTGGTTTTCTTTTGCATGAACATGGATAAGATAGTAAGATAATAGGGGTTATGTGTAGGAAGTGTTCTAACAAACTGCTGATAAGAGTGTTACATGCCTCTGAGTATGGCATAGGGCAGTTAGGCTTTTTTCTTACTTGTTGGGCCTGTTATGAGACCCTACTAAAGTGTTTTATTTGTACTTCAAGGAATTTGAAGTATCATGTAAGGCTAGGAAGGCGTTCAAAATACATTTTTAGCCTGACAAGAAACTTAGAGTGACTGTAATATACATAGATTAATTCAACCAGTGTTCCAAGTACTTATCATTCACTTCCACTCTGCAAGCGTTGATTGAGCTCTCAGTTTGTCCAAAGCACTGTTACGAGCAAAGTAGACATGGACAAAATGATTCAAAGGTTCGTGACCAGTATCAGCGATCAGTGAAGAAACAACTCACCATCACTAGAATGTACTCGTGAAGGTATTGGAGGCCACTGCATGGCAGGAGAGATACAGCTGGAGAGGGCCTTGTATGGCACACTCAGCTGCAGAGATGGGTCTTTAGGTGCTCAGAAGTTACTGGGAAAGGCTGTGTATTTTCAGAGCCTGTGACCCCTCTGTGGTTGCAGTCAGATTCTTGGTTGATCAGGCTGGGCATTTTCGGCCAATCCAAGTAAGGAAGAGGATCTTGGAAATTGTGATCGTTAACTGGAGCATCGTCTTATGCCTGAAAGGTCCTTTTTTAATCTTGTTAACCAAAAAAAATCACTTTAGATATACCACAGGTGTAGTAAATTACCTGTCTCAATTACAGAATTTTCTGTAGTGCCTTTATGTTAAAGATGAGATTTCATCCTAGAGTGCTTTATCTGCTACATGGGCACTTCCCTACAAGCTTCTATTGTTTTTGTTCATTCAAACTAGGAAATTAAACATTTATTCAAGATGTTCAAGATGCTCTTTCATTTATTTAGCATTATCTGGTTTTTTTTTTTGGAAGTATATGCATTGTTTCATTGTTTACTTTTAGGGAAAAAGAAACAGTGGTTTCAGACAGTGCTTCTTCGGGAGCCAGAAGCACTGCAAGTTGACAAAGCTTTGTCCGGCAATGGGGTACACATTCAGGCTGGCCGCTCGAAACGACATTGGCACCAGGTATGATATTTCCTTGTCCTCTTGCCCTTCAGCCTTTGGATGGTGATCTTGAGCCTTCTTTTGCATCACTGGAAGGCATGAGGAAGCCTGCTGCCTCCACACTAAATCAACTGGAGGTTTTCCAAGATGGAATCCTAATCAGAGGAGAGAAGGCCTCCTTCAAGCTGGTGAATGCCACTATGGCCTCTGCAGTCTTGCAAGCTGTATGGCGAAGGCCCCACTAGGGGTCTCTAAGAACCAAGGTGAAGGTAGCAGTACAGATTTTGAAAGGAATTCCTCTTGGAGCTTTATTTTTTTAGATAACATGCCTTTTTCTTTTATCACTTCAGCGAGCTCTTGATTCAATTGCCCTTTTTCAATTACGTGAGTGTCTCCTGGTACAAAGAAAGAGATGCTGGGCTGGCCATTGTTGTCAAGCCCAGGGCAGATATAGAATTGGAGAAAACCTGGACTGTCTTGGAGGCCCCTGCAGGCCTGTAGCCTGTATGAGAAAGGCAAGAATGAGTGTACTGTAAGGTATCAATTGATTAAAGAGGCTTTGAAAAGGCTACATTTCAATTGCACTTGCGGGGTAACTCTTGATTAAGGGAAAAATCTTTTTCTTTCATTCACTGCTTGTTGAAAATCTTTAAAAGGCTTCTGCCACATCAGTGTCCCCAACCTTCCAGCAGGTAGAACCTCTTTTTCACTCACAAACGTTTTACAGACCTGCCTCCTTCACCATGGAGCCATTATACGTTTCTAGAGTTCCCTGGTGCAAAAGTCTACCGACGAAAAAGCCTATATGGTCAAGATTTAAGAAATTGAAGCTCACCAACTTTCCAAAACAGCTGTATAATTGAAATTATTTCATCAACAAATATTTGCTGCGCTATGGATGCAGGCCTCCTTGCCCTAGTACCTGATAGACCATGGCACGTGCTATGCCCTTCCTGTCCAGTGCTTTAGGGAAATGAATTCTAAGTACCATTGTCTTCCAGTTTCACAGGATTCGTTTCAGGCCTCTCCCGACCTCCCTGCCATGATACACAATCCTATCGGTGCCCCCAGTCTGATTAAATTGGCCTTAGTCTTGATATAACCTGCCACACATCCTTCCCTCCTAAACTCTTTTACTGCTTGTAAATCCCACATAATGCCCACACATACGTCATTCATTGACTCAAGACGGCAACCAAAGGATACAGAAGGCCACTGTTATTATCTTGTGCGTGATGTTTGTCTAGTAAAGATCCATGGGTGGGAGGGACAGCTGAAGGTGGTATATGGATATCCACCCAGCCCACTCCTTGCCTGCGCTTTGCTACTTCACCTCTAGGCGAGTTTGCGTAGTATGCCAGCCGGCCTTCCTCTTTTAAAGTGCCCAGCCTGTTTCAACCTGCCTGCTACGGCGGCCTCCACTTTCTTTCTCACAGTGTACAGCGCCAGAAGGTAGTATGCCTACCATAGCAATCTGCCCTCAGATCGCCTTCTGCCACAAGGCTGGTCGAGCTGTATGCAATGGGCACCTGCGCTGGAGGCACAAGCCAGGCTGTCACCTAGGAAGTACACCTACACCTCTGGAATTCAGCGGATGAACCAGTGAGTTTAAGATGTATACTCTCGGTTTTGTATAGTCAGTATGTTATATACAGGGCACCATGCAAGTGAGATAACTGCCATAGATTCAACTAAACTCTTTTTTTTTTCTGAAGAACGGATCTCGCTCTGGTCCACCTAGCTGAGTACAATGCCCCATTGCCACACGCATCCACTCCAGGTTCACCATTCTCCTGCCTCGGCCCAATAGCTGGGCTCGAGCGGCGCCCACCACCATCGCCCGCTCATTTTTTGTAATTTTTTAGTAGAGAAGGCGTTTCGCTGTGTTAGCCGATGGTCCGATCCTCCCGGACCATCGAATCCGCCCCCTCCCTCGCTCCAAAGGTGCCTGGATTACCAGTCGTGGCCCCACGCCAGCCAAAACCAAACCTTCTAATTCTACCTCTGTCACCCACCACCTACCAGCCACAGCCTGTCTTTCCATCCGGTAAATGACATATTCATCTCGGTAGCTCGGGAACAAACCTGGAGTCTCCTGGACCCAATAACCACACAACAAAACCTTTTATCTTCTTAGAAATTAACCTTTTTTTTTTTTTTACATTCCAGCTACTACCTTATGAGCGCCATCTCACCCTCATTGTTGCAGTACATGAGATTGTTAATGCGATAAGCCTTATATCCCTAACTTCATCCTTTCTAAACGGCCTACAGCCTGCTTTCTCATGCAAGCTGTGGAGAAACATCGACCTGAAAATACAACTATCATGCGCGCCTGCTCGAATCCTTCCTGTCTCAGTCTTTCCCTCTTTTCACGTAAATCCGCCTAGAGCTCTTACAGTCCCACGGTCCTGCTGACTGTCCTCATATCCCCGTCCTTCCACTGTACGTCCTTATCCGCCTCTAGTCGGTTCCTTTTTTGAGATGAGTCTGCTGTGTCAACCGCCCCGTCTGCAGTGCCGCAACTTGGCTCACTGCAAGCTCACTCCCAGCGTTTCACGCCAATCTCACTCAGCCTTCCTGAGCGGCCTAGCTACCGCACCTGCCACCATGCCTGGCTAATTTCTTCTTTTTTTGCCTATTTAGTAATGACGGGTTCACGGTGTTTACGCCAGGGAGGTTCCGCTCTCCTGGCCTCGTGATCTCCTTAGCCTCCCAAAGTGTTGGGATTACACCACGCCCAGCCAGCCTCTAGTCTGTTCTTTAAACACACCAGATGTGCTCTGGCCTCAAGGCCTTTGCAGTTCTGCCTTCTGGCCAGAATATCCTTCCGGATGTCTTTGACTCCCTTCCCTCATTTTCTTCAGGTCTATTCTCATATGTCATTTCTTTGGACAGTCCTTCCCTGATCACCCTGTAGAACAGCACCACCCAATAGAACTTTCTGCAATGATGGAAATATTTTATAATTTGTGCCATCCAGTATGGTGGCACTTACACACATGCAACTCTCGAGCACCTGACATAAGGCTTGTTGGCCTATAGTATGGAGGGTTTGTTTGCTTGTTTGTTTTGAGATGGAGTTTCGCTCTTGTTGCCCAGGCTGGAGTGCAGTGGTGCAATCTCGGCTCTCCACAACCTCTGCCTCCCAGGTTCAAGTGATTCTCCTGCCTCAGCCTCCTGAGTAGCTGGGATTGCAGGCACGCGCCACCACGCCTGGCTAATTTTGTATTTTTAGTAGAGACGGAGTTTCTCCATGTTAGTCGGACTGGTCTCGTACTCCCAACCTCAGATGATCTGCCCACCTTGGCCTCCCAAAGCGCTGGGATTACAGTTGTGAGCCACCACGCTCAGTCAGTACTGAGTTTTTAATTGTAATAAACTTAAATTCAAAGAGCCACATATGGCTGCCATATTTACCTCCAGCAGCTGTAGAAAGCCCTCACTAGTTCCACCATTGTATTCTCCTACCTAGCTTTAGTTTTTGTCATAGCACTTAACACTACATGACATATGTAGTAGTTTTTCTGTATTGTCTTCTCCCACTGGAATGTGAACTTCTTGTGGCAAGGCCTTTTCTGTTCTTGAGCAGTGCTGAATCCTTAGAGCCTAGAGGACAACCAGACACAGAGAAGGTGCTAAGTAGTATTTTGATGAGTGAATGAGAGAATGATAGAGACAGAACTATTGAATGAGTTCCCTGAATTCAACTTTTAGTGGGATGTTTGTCCTCCTAAAGGATTATGTCCTTTCCCATCTAAGCTGTCCTTTCTCCCTTGGCCAGAAGAGGGCACTGTGTGGTCAGGAAGCTCAGCCACACGTTACTGCATAGCACATTGCAGCTTGATAGTGCGGACCTCAGTACAAAGGACTTTTTTCATGACAACATTAAAAATGTTAAATGTATTTTCAAAAAGTACTTAACTCCTTTGTCACAATAAATTTGACCAGACCCAGGAAAAATTACAGTGTGATGGAGATAAATTTTTATTTAAAACTCAAGTGCTATCCACAATACTCCGGGCTTCTGATTTTTCTCTTTTGCAAAAGTAGCTACCAGACCTCTGGCCAGTTGCTGCTGATGGTAGGGAAAGGCAGTATAAAAATCCTATATTCAAAGGTATTTAATGCCCAGAATTTTTGATACCGATGTTTCTTCTTGGCTTTGCCTTTTCAGGATAACCTTTTCCACCCAAAATACACTGGAGAGGATTTAACCTGTACTGTGAAAAATCTCAAAAGAAGCACACAGTATAAATTCAGGGTGAGTCAGTCATTTTGCTGCCTGAACTACTTAAGAATGAAACTGTTTTCTATTTTACCATTTACCATGTCAGATTGTCTCTACAGGTTAAAAACTGAAGTTGACAGCACTTTACATTTTGAAAGTAACATTTATAAAGTGCACACCATGCTTTATTTATTTATTTATTTATTTATTTATTTATTTATTTGAGATCAAGTCTCTCTCTGTCACTCAGGCTAGAGTGCAGTGGCACGATCTTGGCTCCCTGCAACCTCTGCCTCCCGGGTTTAAGCAATTCTCCTGCCTCAGCCTCCTGAGTAGCTGGGATTACAGGCATGCACCACCATGCCCGGCTAATTTTGTGTTTTTAGTAGAGACGAGGTTTCTCCATGTTGGTCAGGCTGGTCTCGAATTCCTGACCTCAGGTCATCCACCCACTTCGGCCTCCCAAAGTGCTGGGATTAGGTCTCAATATCCTGACCTCATGATCCGCCCACCTCAGCCTCCCAAAGTGCTGGGATTACAGGCGTGAGCCACTGCACCTGGCCCATGCTTTAATTTTAAAACCAGTTTGTGAGCATAAAAATTGTCATCATGTGCTGTAATAAATTGCGTTTGCAGCATGGCCAGGTGCCCTTGCCTGGGAAGAGGCATACCAGATGCTGGAGTGTACCTGTCACTCACCTGCACTCCATACCTTTTTCTTTTCAATCAGACTTCTCTTTGCTCTTCAGCCCATTTATTTTTCCTCACTTGTTTTTAATTTTCTCTTCCATGACCCACCCCCTCCCGACCAGGGCTATCTTTGGTCATTAACAGCCACCATTAACGTTACTATAGGACTATGTCTAGTAGCCAAAAAAGTGAATACGACTTTATAATCACTAAGAGATCAAAACAGTATTCTGCAGCACCATATTTTCTAGTATGACAAGTGTGTATTTTGGAAGATAGGATTGTCTTCTGATTCCACACGTTCTTCTCTAAGTGGTGGACCAAATGCTGTTATTTGGCACATAGCAATCACTCAATAAATAGTTGCCAAATTATCAAGTGCAGTATGAGACTATTTGAAGGAAATGATAATTTTTAACATTTTTTAAAACCCTTATTATTGATGCTGGCTATGAGAACATAGCTATACTGCTAACATTTCTCCACAAGGTGGCATTGCCCTACTCTTTAAAAAGTGGGGCTATTTTTATGTCCCCACTCACCCCACATTTTCCTTTCACGAAACAATACGAATCAGGTGATGACATACTTGTTTTATTACGTCTTTTTGAAAGGGTAAAAATATCTTTAAAACCCACCTTATGGTTTTACTTTATTTTTATTTTTTTATTTTTTGAGACAGGGTTTCGCTGTTGTTGCCCAGGCTGGAGTGCAATGGCATGATCTTGGCTCACCGCAACCTCTGCCTCCCAGGTTCAAGGGATTCTCCTGCCTCGGCCTCCTGAGTAGCTGGGATTACAGGCATGCACCACCATGCCCGGCTAATTTTGTGTTTTTAGTAGAGACGAGGTTTCTCCATGTTGGTCAGGCTGGTCTCGAATTCCTGACCTCAGGTCATCCACCCACTTCGGCCTCCCAAAGTGCTGGGATTACAGGCATGAGCCACCATGCCCAGCTGGTTTTATTTTTAATTGTTAATAACCAACTATACAGTAAATGATTTATAATATAAATACTGTTAAATTGATACTTGAGTTTAAAAGAGAAAAAAATGTGTGTCTGTCTGAGTTTATGGGTGCCTTCATCTCACCATGTTAAAAAGTGACCATTAATTTAGTGATCCCTGATAACTAAAGCATGTTAACGTTTCCTTGGTTGTGTTCTAGCTGACTGCTTCTAATACGGAAGGAAAAAGCTGTCCAAGCGAAGTTCTGGTTTGTACGACGAGTCCTGACAGGCCTGGACCTCCTACCAGACCACTTGTCAAAGGCCCAGTTACATCTCATGGCTTTAGTGTCAAATGGGGTATGTTTTACTGCTGCTGCTGCTGCTGCTGTATTTTTTTTTCTTTGGATATATTTTTTTAAAATGATTAATTTTAGTAGTGACAAGCCAAAAAAATTATGGATGGTATTATTTGCAGAAGTTTTCTACATTCGGAATATATGTGTGAGAAACATCCTGAGAAGTCTACAAATTGGAATGGACAGTTTCGTTAAAATGTAATCATAAAGGACAATTAAATTTTAGTGGAAATTAAAATGGATGATTTTTAAGAGTATCTCATTTACTCTATGATTTTCCTGTACATACCTTTTCTCCTGTATTTTTAAAGCATTGATTTGAATGTAGTAATGTCTGTATGCATCGTTCATTCTTCAATAGTTCATCCTTAAAAAATTAACAATACTTAAGAGAAAAATTTGATTTATAAAGTTAATATTGAAAATAAATTTCAAAATTTAGGTTTATTAAGTAAACTTCGGCATACAGAATGTTTAAGTTGCAATGAATTAGGGATAGTTTTGTTTTCATTGGTGTTTGTTTGGGAAATTTTAGTATTAAAGTTCATAAGGAGTTTGAGGTTGTCTGGTAAAAGGATATTGTGCCTCACCTCTGCTGTGTGGATTATTTCAATAAAATGAATACAGTTAGAAGGTTGATAATTAATATGTAAAAGTGTTATGCATATCATTTTTACTAATGTCATAAAAATATTAACTAATAGGCAAAAAAAAGTTGAAATCTTCAGTAAAATTTTACCTTGCAGCCAAGTAATATAAGGAGAATTTAAAACATTATTACACCAACCACTGAGACATATAACTGTTTCAAGTTACCTAATAATTGTGAGATCGAATTATTAGGATTTCTGTTTCCCCGAAAGATGGATAGAATTCAGAGAAATGATAAAAATTTAGATGTGCTTTTAGCCAGACCATAGAGCTTTTCTCTCAAAGAACCTCAGAAAGTTCTGTCAACACAACAGCTATATGCTATAATATTTACCTTTGTAATTATTATTGTAAATATCTACTAAAATATATATACATTAATGGAAATCAGGTGAAGGAGAGGGGAAGTGAATATTCTAAATTTATATATAAGTAAAACTTAAGGTTTTTTAGAAAAATCTCCGTTATGTCTAAGAATATCGAGGTGGCAGACAGACAATATAAAGGTACATTCTTTATAGTTTTGCAAAATTAGGCTGCAAAGGAAGTGTTTTTCTGCTCAGAAAGTAAAATTCCTGCAGGCACAGAGTTATGGGTAGTCTATATACCCAAGGCACCTAGGGCTCTAGTAATAAGCCAGAACATTCTTTCTCAGGCTGTCTGCTGGTGCACTGGCACTCATTGATCCACACCTCTGATTTCATACCACATTCACCTGGGATGTAAAGTTTGCTTGGTAGGAAACTGTGCTAGAATGGACATATTCCATTTGGATATTTTATTTATTTTGTCAATAAATTTTGTACTTCTCTTTCCGTTCCTTTCCATCACTCAAAAGAATCTGGTCGGCTGGGCGCGGTGGCTCATGCCTGTAATCCCAGCACTTTGGGAGGCCGAGGCGGGTGGATCACCTGAGGTCTGGAGTTCAAGACCAGCCTAATGTGGTGAAACCCCGTCTATACTCAAAATATAAAAAAAATTAGCCAGGCATAGTGGTGAGTGCCTGTAATCCCAGCTACTCAGGAGGCTGAGGCAGCATACTCATTTGAACCCAGGAAGGGTTGCCGTGAGCCGAGATGGAGCCATTGCACTCCAGCCTAGGCAACAGAGCAAGACTCATCTCAGAGGGGGAAAAAAAAAAATCTGGTCACTGATAAAATAAGTGAAATAAAAAGAATAAAATAAGAAATATGAACATATATCATCTGATATAAAAATCATCAAATATATTAAAGAGCACCTTCAAGTAAATTCAACAACTTGATCAGTTTGTACCGAGTTTTTGGTTCATATTTCATTACACGAATGCTCTTCGACATTTCTAGATTTAAGAACTTTGAATAATCTGATAGTATTCAGAGATTCCTGGTTTTTTGTTTTTTGTTTTTTTTTCTTTTTTTTTAAACAGTGGAGTTGGTGAAATAAATTATTTTGCCTTTTGGTCAAGTCTAGAATTAAGATAATATAATGGTATGTGATTTTATGAGTCCTGATGATGTTTACCGATAAAAATCAATATCCTTTTATTGCTAATAAGACATTTGATTATTTTCCAGATCCTCCTAAGGACAATGGTGGTTCAGAAATCCTCAAGTACTTGCTAGAGATTACTGATGGAAATTCTGAAGGTGAACTTTTTGGCAATTGTTTTATTCAAAGCCAGTAGCAAGCTCTATTTTCTGATATAGTAAACATCTTATAGTAATAGCAAGCAACCATTAATTCTAAAGATAGAACTATTATTACAGTAAACAAACTTTAATCACATATTGGCCGTTTTTCTATTTCAAACACAGCACCAGAGATCAGAGTCTGCTTGAAACTTACATTTGTGTTATTTAAAATTTTTTCTGTATCTTTTTCATTGGTGTTTTGTTTAGTTGATCTTTTGCTTTTGTTTCTTTGGTTTGGTTTGTTTTTGTTTTGTTTTTTGAGACATGGTCTCACTCTGTCACCCAGGCTGGAGGGCAGTGGCACAAACATGGCCCACTGCAGTCTCAAACTCCTGGGCTTAAGTGATTCTTCTGCCTCAGAAGATGAGGAAGAATACATTTTTCATAGTGATGGTGTCTCACTATGTTATCTAGGCTAGTCTCAAACTCCTGGCCTCAAGCAATCCTCCCACCTCTGCCTCCCAAAGTGCTGGGATTTTAGGCATGAATCACCACACTCAGCTTCCATGTCTTTTTTTCAACTAGAATTCCTAATTAATGGGATAAATTTAGTGTTTTCATCTCCTAACTTGCCATACGTTTTCTGGAAATTCTTATAAGCAGCCGGGAGCGGTGGCTCACATTCTAATCCCAGCGTTTTAGGAGGCCGAGGTGGATGGATCACGACGTCAAGAGATCGAGACTATCCTGGCCAATGTGGTGAAACCCCCGTCTCTACTAAAAATACAAAAATTAGCTGGGTGTGGTGGCATGCGCCTGTAGTCCCAGCTACTTGGGAGGCTGAGGCAGGAGAATTGCTTGAACCCGGGAGGCAGAAGTTGCAGTTAGCCGAGATTGCACCACTGCACTCCAGCCTGGTGACAGAGTGAGACTCCATCTTAAAAAAAAAAAAAAAAAATCTTATAAGCAAAGGAAGTATCAGAGGCAATCAGCAGGAATAGTGAGGTGGAGATAATGAAGGAGTGGGTTCAGTAATCTACAAATTCCCATGCATGAAATATATAGTATTGTGGGCTAGTGACAAGAGTCGCACTTTTATAACAAGTTTAGAAAATTTCTTTGTGACTTCATTGTCATTTTACTTCAGATTATTTATTTATTACTATTTATACTGGGTGGATTAACATGGGACAAATGTTAGAAATAAAATTCCTTAGTGCCTTTTTAAAAATTCTGAGGTTTTCTTTCGTTCATTAGACTTTAATAGAGAAAAGTATACTCTTTAAAACTTTTTAAATGACATATCATCTCACCACTGTAATAATTCCTCTAACCATTAGTTTTTTTTAAAAAATGGCATTGCTTATGCCTAAAACAGAGAGGATTGATATAACTTTTACAAGCCAGCAGTGCTGATGTGTGGCTGGCTTTTTATTCTGTACCACGAGAACCACCTGGAATTTTTTTTGTTTTTAAATCTATTGGGTCCTATTTTAAGCTGAAAACATGAGAATTCTTTTGAGATGAGCACAGCTGTTCTAAACATAAAATCATATTTTGTGCTAAAAACCTGGTTTAGAACTGCCTGGCGTGGTGGCTCACACCTGTAATCCCAGCACTTTGGGAGGCTGAAGTGGGTGGATCACGAGGTCAGGAGTTTGAGACCAACCTGGCCGACATGGGGAAACCCTGTCTCTACTAGAAAAAATGCAAAAATTAGCTGGGTGTGGTGGCATGCGCCTGTAATTCCAGTTCCTCGAGAGGCAGAGGCAGGAGAATCGTTGGAATCCAGGAGGCAGAGGTTGCAGTGAGCTGAGATCACACCACTGCACTTAAGCCTGGGCAACAGAGCAAGACCCTGTCTTGGAAGAAGAAAAAAAGAAGAAGAAAAAAAAAAACCTGGTTTAGCTTTTCTTCATTAGAAAAACCCACCTAGGATAGAAGTCATGTGTATGCCAATGGCTCCTTGTGAATATTTAAGTATGTTTTGAATTCTCATGTCTCCCTTTAGCTACTGATGACAAATCAAATCAAAAGTAGGGGCCATTCTAGACTTAACAGTTAACAACTTTGCCACTGCATGACTGAGTGAGTGAGTGAATCTTTTCAGTAATCTTTGCTCCCAGTCACCTTTTCAGTACAGGTTTTTTCGACCTGTAATGTCAGGATAGTTGCCTTTACTATTCCCTTTTTTCATCTGACCTTAGTGCATGTGACTCTATCATGAATCTACACTAATAAACTGCTGGGGGAATTTGTGGAAGTTACTCTACTTAAAATACCAGGGAATAGTGTAAAAGCATTTCTCCTAAAACAACTTCATGTAGTAAAAGGCTTTTGTAAAGTGGTCAGCTGGAAACACAGCATGAAAGGGAATAAAGCAGAGGAGTGAAGAGCCTCCTGGTGGCCCAGATTTGTGAGTCAGGCAGGCGGCTGAGGCAGCCCTGGGTGGTCTTGCTTCCAACGGCATCAGCCTTAGGGGGCACCCAGACTCCTGGTGACTGTTTCTCTCTTCAGTTCTGCAGAGTGGTCAGATCACTTGGGTCATGCCACGTTTGGTCTTTGTCACCCTGCTAGGCATTTTTGCCTTTTTTTTTTTTTTTTTTTTTTTGAGATGCAGTCTCGCTCTGTTGCCCAGGCTGGAGTGCAGTGGCGCGATCTTGGCTCACTGCAAGCTCCGCCTCCTGGGTTCAAGTGATTTTCTTGCCTCAGCCTCCCGAGTAGCTGGGATTACAGGTGCCCGCCACCACGCCTGGCTGATTTTTGTATTTTTAGTAAGACGGGGTTTTGCCAGGTTAGCCAGGCTGATCTCGAACTCCTGACCTCAGGTGATCCACCTGCCTTGGCCTCCCAAAGTGCTGGGATTACAGGTGTGAGCCACCGCCTGTAATTTTTGTCTTTTAAGTGGGGCTCCATGAAGGCAGTCAGGAGACCCAGTTTTTAAAAGAGGATTTCACTACCTTTGACCTCCAGGCAGATAAGAACAGGGAGAAATTCTTGCATGCTGCCCCAGTCTTGCCAGAAGCCTCGTGGCCAAGAAGTAGCCCCGTGCCTGGCTGCCCCTGAGGCCTCCTCACACCAGGAGCATTTCATAGCTTGCCCACTCCTGTTCTGTGTCTCCTACCACTCCTTCCATGCCACTGCATGTTTCATTATGGTTTCCCACATCCAAACCTCATAGCAAATGTAATCGTGGTGATAATAGGTAGTCTAGCCAGCAACACTAAGTGTTAAAAATGACTCCATGTTATTTTGGTATTTAACTTTGTAAAATAAAAAGGAAGAGCTTTCTGGCTATTTAAAAAGAAAAAGAAGATGTTGGTTTTCCTGAAAACATAGAGCTTTTTCTTGTCAGCAATGGCTGATATACTACATTTTTTACAAGAGGCATAAAGTCATGCGTAAGTCTTGTTTTACAGCGAATCAGTGGGAAGTGGCCTACAGCGGGTCGGCTACTGAATACACCTTCACCCACTTGAAACCAGGCACTTTGTACAAACTCCGAGCATGCTGCATCAGTACTGGTGGACACAGCCAGGTTGGTTTTGTTTCCATATAAAAGTAAACCTCTTTGATCAAATTCGGACCAGCTGTCTGTAACATCAGAATCAAATTGCAGTTTAAACAATGTATCTTGGTAATGCAACCTGATAGTATCAAGTCAGAAAATGAAAAATAGAGCTTTTTGAATTGCTCTTTAAAGGTATAAGATAGGCCTAAATGATTCCCTACTGAATTGTGGTATTTTCAGGTACATTTGTCACTCACTTATTTCTCAGAAGTCTTTGACGTAATCACCTGTGATGGTTGAAAATTATCTGGAATTTGTATCGACTAAATAAAGGAGACCTCGGTTATTGCAATGATTAAAAAACTATAGAATTTCTAGTGAAAAGATAAGACCTGTGCAGCACTGCTATTATCACGTCTATCAATTTTAAGAATTTGAGACGTACCTTCCTCAAGGTACTTTACTGCCATCTGCTGGAAAGTTGTTGTAAAAACAATGTAAATCCATGATGACTGAGCTGAATGGCACTTCCTTAAGTTTTGTGGTACCCGACGTACACATCTGTAGGCAAGATCCATTCTTTTGTTTCTACTATTTATATGACCTTAGACTAACCAGTTAACATGTCAGGAGTCTTAGTTTCAACCACATTGTACTCTCATAGGCTCAAAACAACCTAATAAATATACATGGAGTACTCTAGAAATGAAATAATTGTTATCTAAATGGTTTTAACTTACACTCAGAAAACTGAGTGAGAAATGAGATGCCAAAAGATACTTTCACTGTAGAGATATTTAACATTATGATTTAAAACCACTAATAATTTAGAATGAAAGAGAAGGAGAGATGGTGGCTTACAGCCCTGTGCTGGGTTGACTTTTCAAGAGAATACCTGCTGTTTGAATGCCTAATTTTTCTAGTCAACCCACTTGCAACATCAGTTTTTGTGTTTACTTTCTTTTGCCCCCAAGGATGGTACTAGGACATCTAGACTGCCCATGTAGACACTCCCTGTGAGGAGAAGGTCCAGCTGGACCATCTTTATACAGTGCCGAAGCTTTCTGGAGTGCCTCCCAGGGTGGAGTAAATCCAAATCAAAGCTGAGACTATCAGTGGTACTTCCTATGTGTGAGGCACTACGCAAGGTGGCACTGAGTCTGAACTGCTCAAATGCATAGAGGTCATTTCCTCTGTGCCACTTCTCAGGGAGAAAATTGAATGTGGCTGAGCTGTATAGCTCTACCTGATTTTCTCCTGTCTCAGGAATCAGGTCAGCTTCCATATCACTAGCCTTACACAACCAGATCCTGCAAAATAAAGGCCTACTTATTTTAGCGTTAACAGTACCTGCTGGTTAATGTCAGAATCAATTGATTAATATTGAGTTTATTTGCTTTTCTGCTCTGTATGTGAATGGTTGGCCATTTATGGTACCTTTTTAAAATTTCATCCAGCTGTCGTTTTGTGTTCTCTTCTGTCCTCATGAAGGGTCTTTCTAATTTTGAATTAAAGGAAAAGAATTGCTTAGGATATACAGTACTCGTGTCTGCTAATCTAACTTCAAAAATAATCATTTTTGTTTTTCCCAGTGCCATATGAAGTCTATAACCACCCTTAAAACACACACACATACATTTATATGAAGATCTTAATTGCATTAAAAGCTTACCATAATGTGCACACATTTAGTGTGTAACCCCTTTTCGGTAACATTTGCAGTTATGGGGTGGAATTTGCCTGATATGTGGAGGTCTGATAAATTCACAGTAACTAAGAGACGGTTCTCTCTGGTGTTTCTCCTGCAGTGTTCTGAAAGTCTCCCTGTTCGCACACTAAGCATTGCACCAGGTCAGTGTCGACCACCGAGGGTTTTGGGTAGACCAAAGCACAAAGAAGTCCACTTAGAGTGGGGTGAGTGAACAAACCTTCCCGTTGACATTGGTAGTTTGGACAATCGGAGATGAAGACTTACGCTTTGTAGTTAAGTTTCAAAGCTTTCTTCTAAAGACCACGTATGTTTTTGTCTGTTGAAGATGTCCATATTCCTCTTGAAGTATGTTGACCCAGGTTTTTTATGTGTGTCATTCTCCCCATCCACACCCCCAACACTGTCCCTCATCCTCCTCTTCCTGATGGTGCCACACACCTGGTTTATCCCCCACACTTCAGGGGACACTTTTCTAGGGAGTATTTCAAGAACTGCCAGTCTTTTTCAGAAAGTTTTCAACTTTATTAATGGGAAAAAAATTTTGTACTCAATTTAGAAATTAAACCAAAGAATGGTTTATAAGATCACATGGAATTCTTCCTCGTCTCTGTGTGTAACCACCTCTGCTGCATTGTCCTGTGTGGGTCCTGATGTTTTTACAGTGTTGACTTAAACTGTATTAGCGTTTTTGTTGTGCCAAGCTGTTTACAACATGTGTAATTATAAATACAAATATACAAAACTCTCTAGCAGACTATTTTTTCCCACCACTGATGTCTAAAGTATAATAAATTGTGCCAACCTGGGGTCCTGTATTTTGATTTAATATGACCTTTGGTTTCAAATTAAAGAGATTTTTCTTGCTTCTTTTTCTTCCATTTACCGAGCATTAAAATATGAAGAAATATATCTAATGTTCCTATGATTTGGGGATTATTTTATCAATGTAATTAAATAAACTTCAATGGACTTGCTTTGGAGAGTATGGATAACATCATTCAGAAACTTTTATTTTTATATCTCTTTTTGGTGGGCAGGGATTCTTTTGTAAGGGAGATACGGAGGACAGGCCACCTATGTGATATTTTGCACAACTTGTGTGAAATCTGGTGCAGTTTGGTCAACTGGAAGTACAAAGTGTTCTAAGATGAAAATAACTCTTCATTCCCAGATGTTCCTGCATCTGAAAGTGGCTGTGAGGTCTCAGAGTACAGCGTGGAGATGACAGAGCCTGAAGACGTAGCCTCGGAGGTGTACCACGGCCCAGAGCTGGAGTGCACTGTCGGCAACCTGCTTCCTGGAACCGTGTATCGCTTCCGGGTGCGGGCTCTGAATGATGGAGGGGTGAGTATAAGCCCATACACTGTAACCAGAATCAGAATGCATAGTCAGAACCCAAAGTGCTAGCACTTCTGTCTCTAGCCTCCTGAAATTTTTGGCAGTCTTAATGCAACCTTGACAACCATTAATGCAGTGTCTGTAAATCTTAATTCTGAGTTGATATTGTTGTGATTTCATATAGACCCAGCATTAGACGTTTTTTGTTTCTTTTGTCCTCATATCATTCTATGAAGACAGCACTCAAGGTAAATAAAGATATCACCCTGTAGATACTTTTGACAATTTTCAGAAAATTTCCTTTTCTTCTATTGACTTTATCAGTTAAGGGAAATTAGGAATATATAATAGTTCTAATAAAAGTTTTATACTCTCTTGTCTAAATGAACCAGCAACATCTTAGGTCAGTTTTTACAACTAGAGAGGTGTAGCGGCTGGGGACACCAGCTTGTTTTTGTTTTGTTTCAAGTGAAAACTGTAGGACTCTCTGGCCTTCCTTCTATTGCTCCATTTGGAGTTGTCAAGTTGAGCTATCAGAGATTGAGAATACATATGTCTGTGTTATATCCATAAAGGTGGTTGTCCTTTTTTTCTTTAAAATTGCCAAATGATGTAGATTTGGGGGGAGATGAATAATGAGCAGTGGGAGTCCCATTAACTGTGAGGCTTTTGGGTGGGCTTAGAGATTGATGAAGCATAAAAGCGGGCAGAAGGGCGTGGGTAAAGCCAGCTAATGCTAAACGTCCATCCAAAGTGCCAGTGGTTTGTATAGATGGGCTCCCTGCAAATAAATATAATTAGCTAATTGATGATTTTTTTAAAAAATAAGAAAGCCCAACTTGCAGTGACTTTTTGTTTTAAGTGAAAGCAAGTTTATTAAGAAAGTAAAGGAATAAAAGAAGGGCTATTCCTTAGGCAGAGCACCCAAAACTGGATTTCTTCTAATTCTCCAATAGAAAAGAATTTCAGACACTACAATGATATTCAAGTGAAAACAAAAAAGTCTAAACATTAACGCCTATGCACCTGAACTTATAATCATGTAAGCGAAAAGAAGATGGATGGTGGTGAACACACTGTTGTGTCTACCCCATTCTCTCATCAACTTTTCAGTTACTGTCTGCCACAACAAAGATAAATGTGCAACTGGGCTGGTGTGAGTTGTGCTTTTCTCAGCCCTTTCACTGATTTATCCTATAAAGAAACTATCTTCAGCTTGGGTTTATTCATGTTGTATTAGAAATTCACCATATATATTGCTGTAGTCGTCTTCCGAGGTCCATTTCAGAGAGCTTCCCCAACTCCCGAGCATCTTTGCATGTTATGTTGAGAGGTGTTTTTTTTTTCTTCCCCATCTTTTTTTCCCATTTTGACAAGGACAGTCATATATTTTGTTATCCTGGAAAGTTTTTACTCTGCCCCAAACCTTTGAAGTATCAAATATGCCACCATTAAAATGGGTGGTTCAGGTGGCTGTGACTCTCTCAAAGTGTGCTGAGTCTCTAGCAATTCCCGGCTCTGAGCAGTGTGGTCACTGATGGTAACATCAGAATTGCCGTGGATACCCTTGAATAGGTGAGGTGATGGGAACACACTGAGAAAACATTACAGAAGCATTCATTTTCAAAATGGAAAGTACCAGTAACTAGAAGAAATACCTAGAATTCGATCACCAACAATTCCAAGTATATTTTTATGCATTAAAATTAAACTGCAGTGGGCATCTGACTTAGTTTTCTTGGATGTCCTCTGAGAAATATGAAAGCAGATTGTCCTGTTTTGTCAAAAATCAGCATATTTTTATTTCAGATGTCCCAAGAAAGGGAAAATATTTTGTCGACCAACTAATTATTTTCCATTTAAAAAAATGACAGACATCTACTACTCAGGGAATGTACGTAGGAGAAAAACTTATACACATTGAATTGAAAGTTAAAATCATTGGGCAATATTTGTAAATTTATTGTGTTGATGATGATGTTAGCCTAGCCTTTATTTGGTTATAAGCTTTTATATGCACGCACATGCACAAACACATACACACATATATACGTGTGTGTGTGTGTGTGTGTGTGTGTGTGTGTGTGTGTTTTCTTTCAGTACGGTCCCTATTCTGATGTCTCAGAAATTACCACTGCTGCGGGGCCCCCTGGACAGTGCAAAGCACCTTGTATTTCTTGTATGCCTGATGGATGTGTCTTAGTGAGTTGGGAGGTAAGTCAGGCACATTCTGCATCAACTTCTGTTTCTTCTACTTTATCTACCCCCAAATACAAATACAAATTATAAGGAAGCTGCAAATTCAAAATGCACATATAGATGATTTTTTTTTTTTTTTTTTGCTTTGTATACTATAGTAATCACCCTTAGCACTTGCCACTTGCTTATGTTATTTAGAGTTGTGGAAATTTTACCATAATCAAAATTGAGAGGAAATGATTTCTCATGCCTTTCTTTTAAAACAATTTTTATTTTATTTTATTTATTTATTTTTATTTTTCTGTGACGGAGTTTCACTCTTGTCACCCAGGCTGGAGTGCAGTGGTGCAATCTCGGCTCACTGCAACCTCCGCCTCCTGGGTTCAAGTGATTTTCCTGCCTCAGACTCCTGAGTAGCTGGGATTACAAGTGCCCGCCACCACGCCTGGCTAGTTTTTGTATTTTTAGTAGAGACAGGGTTTCACCATGTTGGTCAGGCTGGTCTCAAACTCCTTACCTTAGGCAATCCACCCACCTCAGCCTCCCAAAGTGCTGGGATTACAGGCGTGAGCCACCACATCCGGCCCTATTTTAAATTTAAATTTCTAAACCTTAAAAAAAGTTTTATGGGTACGTAGTAGGTGTATATATTTGTGATCATGCCTTTCTTTTATATGTGTTTGAAATACTCTGAGGCATGTTGCTCTCTTTCCCATTTTAGTTACTTGAATACAAGCACAGTAGGATTCTCTTCTCAGTGGCAGCATTAACTACTTCAATTTCTGCCTTTCCAGAGTCCTGATAGTTCTGGTGCTGACATCTCAGAGTACAGGTTGGAATGGGGAGAAGATGAAGAATCCTTAGAACTCATTTATCATGGGACAGACACCCGTTTTGAAATAAGAGACCTGTTGCCTGCTGCACAATATTGCTGTAGACTACAGGTAGGTTGACATTATTCTGATGTTACTCACAAGGACTGGTTTTCCCATGAAAGACACTTTGGGAAACCCACTCAAAGGCTTGTGGTGGAGGCTGTCAGGAGGGATGATATGGAAAAGAAGAGTCTGTTTAAATAAAAATACATTTGGTTGTTTTGGTATTTTGCAGTTAATTTCCACTTCTCTAGGAAATTCTGAAACTTAAGAACAAAGTAAGTTTCTTCTCCATTCTGCTTCTCACCACCCTTGTATCTTGTCTGTTCATCAGTTTGCTGAATAAATGACCCAAGTCCAAGGGAAAGATGAGACAGCTCCTTAGGGAAGGAGCCTTCTGTCTCATTCCCCTGAGATGCACATTTCAGTGGGAAAGACTCTTAGAGCTGGCAAAAGACAGAAAATTATTTTACGAGCTGTTAAATGGAGCCAAAAATAATTTGGACTAGTCTGCATTAGATTACAGGACCCCACCTCCCAGTGACACTTATCAAGGCTGGTTATCTATAAGCTTCCACTTGGGAGTCCAGATAAAATAACATCAAGAAAAATTGGTTCATAGCCTAAACCCCCAGAGTGGCAACAACCATGGGTTTACTTTTATTTTACTCACTTGGCTATATTATTATTCTTTCTATGTAAAGCCCTAGTCTCTTGAGAAAATAGAGTTATTTGTCCTCCTCTTTCCATCTGTTCAGTAACATTTCTTGAGCATTATAGTACTTTGTACCAGGATCAAAGGAAGATCAGGAAGAGAGATACAAAGATTAATGAGATGTGGTTATTGACCTTGAAGAGCTCTGTCTTCATACACATTTAGATTTGAATAGATAAAGAAGCAGAGATGCCAAAGTCAACTTCCCACCTGATTTAAGTCATGGATCAAATTCCTTATTACAAGTACACCCAGTGTCTCTGGTCTCTTTGGAGAAAATATTTGCTTCATAACTTAATTTTTCAGAGCAACTGAAGCATTTCTGTTAAATTCTGAAGTCTACTTTATTTGAAACATTTCTGATTAAACTCTTTTGTTATACACCTTTCTTACTTCTCGAATGAAGCACCTGGGACATAATTAACCTTTTGACAATGAGTCAGTGTCACAGCAAATTGTCTGATCTTTATAATAGTGATGCTGAGTCATTGGGGAAAGGTTAAATTATGTGCCACACTCCTGTTTTTCTATCAAGGCAGGATATAAATAAAGAGCTGTCTGCCACCCCAGTAAAGAACTTCACTCCATTATGGTTTTTGAGTTTTGGTGTTTCTTTAAAATGTTATTATAGTTCCTTTTTTTTCTCTTTCACAGTATATGTTGTCTTAGCATTGACTTCTCAAAGCTACATTATAAAAGATACATTAATAAGAATAGAACCTGCATAATAATCTTGCCTCCTTGTATTAACAGGAGTAGAAATATATTTTCAAATGTCTGTACTTATTTATAATAAAATGACTCAGATCTTATGAAAGGAGTACTACTTTTAAAATTACCATTGCCATGCTAAAGGACTATTGCCAGGAAAAGGATCTGTTCAACCTGTATCGATTTATTGTTATTTGTGGACCAAATATGAACTATTTTCATTCAACATGATTACAAAGTCAAGTTAAACGCCAATATTTTTTGAATATTTGGCACCTTAAAAATGTAAATATCGGCCGGGCATGGTGGCTCACACTTGTAATCCCAGCACTGTAGGAGGCTGAGGCCAACTGATTGCTTGAGCCAGGAGTTCGAGACCAGCGTGGACAACATGGCAAAACTCCTCCTCTACAAAAACAAATACAAAAATTAGCCAGGCACCTGTAGTCCCAGCTGCTCAGGAGCCTGAGGCAGGAGGATCACTTGAGCCAGGTCAAGGCTGTAGTGACCTGTGACCGCACCACTGTACACCAGCCTGGCGACAGAGTGAGAGCCTGTCTCAAAAAAATAAAATAATATAAAAAGGTATTATAATACCTATACTGTGTTTTGTAGAAATTTGGTGGAACATTTCTTGTTTTGCTTAGGAATTTTGGAATTTTTATATTCTCAGGACTGTTTTAATTAAGTGCTGGCGTAATTCCATTCATAGAGCATGTTGTATATTATAGGCACACTATTATTTATAAAAAGTTGATTTTGAATTAAATTTCATTTTAAAACTGTTAATAAAAAGTGGTATAAATCAAATATTTTCTATAGACCCAGGCTAGTTAAAAGAAGGTAGGATCCTGGAGTAGAAAAAGAACATTAGAAGAATTGGTAAGATTCTGATTAGGTCTGTATGTTAAGAGTATAGTACCAGTGATAATTTTTTTCTTTTTTTTTTTTTTTTTTCAGAGTCTTGCTCTGTCGCCCAGGCTAGAGTGTAGTGGCGCTATCTTGGCTCACTGCAACCTCCACCTCGCGGGTTCAAGCGATTCTCCTGCCTCAGCGTCCTCAGTAACCAGGATTACAGATGCCTGCCACCACACCTGGCTAATTTTTTGTGTATTTAGTAGAGATAGGGTTTCACCAGGTTGGTCAGGCTGGTCTCGCACTCCTGACTTCAGCTGATCCACCTGCCTTGGCCTCACAAAGTGCTGGGATTATAGGCGTGAGCCACCATGCCCGGCCACCAGTAATAATTTCCTGGTTTTGATCATTAATCTGTAGTTCTGTAACATGTTGGTCTTCGGAAAAGCAGAGTGAGAGATAGACAGAAATTTCTCTGTACTATTTTTGCAACTTTTCTGTAAGTATTAAAATAGTACCCAATAAAAAGGTGTTTGAAAAAATAGAGAAAATACTATTTTGTTCATAATTTTCCCAGTGGGAAGGAAGGAAGTGTAGCTCCTACTGCTGGCCTGATACTCTGCCAAGATTTTACATATTAACCTATTTAATCTTTACAGTAATTCTATGAAGTAGACATTACTGTCCCCATTTTACAGCTGAGGAAACAAGCTCAGAGAAATTAACTTACCTAAGATCACACAGTTGTTAAATGATGGAATCAAGGTTTGAACTAAGCTCCAACTCTTAAAAGCCATGTTCTTGTCCTTCTGTGATATGGTGATACCAAACCCTAGTTCATACAGACATTGGGCTCCATGATATCCTATTTTTCTGCCTCTGTGATACATTTATATCAGTACCAAAATCTCAAAATATATACTCATAAAATAATTTGTGATGTTAAAATTTTTCCAAAAGGAGTTAAGGTGTTGAGGTATTGTAATGAAACAGAAATGGATATGACAAAATATTACAGTAGAGTTTTAACTGTGATTTAATAGCAAATAAATGCTTTAAGCCTGCTTCTTTGAAATTAACAAAGGAATTATAAGTTTTGTTTTAGACCTTGATTTAAGAGCTCAAACTTAGCCGGGTGTGGTGGTGTGTGCCTGTGGTTCCAGCTACTCAGGAGGCTAAGGTGGGAGGATTGCTTGAGCCTAGCAAGCAGAGGTTGCAGTGAGCTGAGATTGCACCACTGCACTCCAGACAGAGACAGACCCTGTCTCAAAAAAAAAAACAAAAACAAAAACAAAAAAAAACCCTCAAACTCCTTTAGTTTTTTAATTTGACCTCATAAGCTGTCCAGCACACTAAATGAAAACTAAGTTTTAGAGTACATTCACTTTTGTAAGAAAGCTACCAAATGTTTTTCTCTTTATAAGAAAGAAAATTTTTTTGATAACATTTATTGAACACATACTCTGTATCAAGTACAGTTGCCAGAAATAATACAACAGTGAGCCAGAAAGGCAACTTTGCCCTTATGTAACTTGCATTCTAATCAGAGGAGTACTATATACTATGTCGGTGATAAGTGTCATGATGTAAAGTACAACAAAGAAGGGAAATAGGAAATGTGAAAGACCACAGGGGAAGGATTGCAAGTTGAAATGTGTTCAGAGAGGGCTCGCTGAACAGGTGACACCTACAGACCTTCTCTCAAATGAAGGTGATTGAGCGAGCTGTGCAGATGTCTAGAGAAAAAGCTTTCTGGACAGGAGGAGCAGCCAAGTGCAAAGGCTGTGAGGAGGCAGCAAACTTGGTGTCCCTGTGGAGCAGCGGGGAAGACAGTGTAGCTGGAGCAGAGTCAGTAAAGGGGAGAGTAGCAGGCAATGAAGTCACAGTGCTAATGGGTTTTTGAAGGGGAATGGTAGTGAACAGCAGATCATATAGGGTTCTGTAGGGTTTCATAAGAACTTCAAAGTTTATTCTGAATAAGATGGAAGCTCACTGAAGGAATTTGAACCAAAAATCCCAATTCATATTTTCACTGAATCACTCCAATTGCTGTGAATATAGATTATTGGGCAAGGGCCGACATAGATACCAGCTAGGAGGTCATTAGAATAACCAGATAGGAGAGAGGGTGGTTGGACTAGAGTAATACAGGATATGCTGATGGCCTGGAGAGGGGCATGAGAGGGAGAGGAAGAAAGGTGTCCAGCGATGACTAAGTTATGACTTGAGTGCTCTGAAGGATGAGGGAAACCTCAGGAGATGCAGTCAGGTTTTTGTAAGGAGCGATGGGATGGGGATGAGGAGCTGTGTGGACATTTGAGTTTGAGAGGCCTGTTGGACATGCAAGTGGAGATACTCAGTGGTTGAATACAGATACCCTAGACCAGTATTCAGAGCAGGAATGTGGGCTGCACATCCAAATTTGGGAGTAGGTTATCAGTGGTGTTTACGCGTTGAGACAAGATGACATCTCCAAAAGTTTGAGTAGAGGTAGAAAATAGGAGGTAGCCAAGTACCAAGCGCTGATACTCACCAGTGTTAAGAGATCAGGGTGATGGTAGCAAGCAGCAATGGTGATTGAGAGGCAGCAGCAGCAAGTAAGGTAGGAGGAGAGATAAGTGTGGCATCTTGGAGACCTAGTGATGAATAAGCATTTGAAAGATCTGGGAGTGATTAGGTATCAGCTCTTGCTCTTGGGTAAAGTCAGATGAGTGCTAAGGATTGACTTCAGGGATGAGTTTATTATTCATGTAGAAGATAGAAGATGCCTCTTCCTATTGCTATTCCAGGACAGCTCTAGACTTAAAAGTCAGATGAACTGGATTCCGGTCCCAGTTTTGCCTCTAAATCTGAGGCCTAAGTTATCTAATCTGACTCTGAGTTCCCGTCTCTGTAAAAGGCAGATAAGAATATCTACCATTTAAGATCTACCATAGTGGGTTATTATGAAGATCATGTAAGATGATGTATAAACTGAAATAGGTCATGCAAATATAAAATATTATTTTTAAATTATTTTTCATAAGAAATGATGGTGGCCATATTTTGCTTTAATGGAAAAAGTGTGGTTGGCATGTTTTGGAAGGTGGTCATCAGACAGTAGACATTTTCAATGATTTATTTCTACCTGCATGTCTGGAAATGTGTACTACTTTAGATTTATTTAATGGCAGCTAACTCAGAGGCATCAAAACGTGCTAATGGTGTAATATGGCCTTCGTCTTGCTGTTTTGTTTTGTAGGCCTTCAATCAAGCAGGGCCAGGGCCATACAGTGAACTTGTCCTTTGCCAGACACCAGCGTCTGCCCCTGACCCCGTCTCCACTCTCTGTGTCCTGGAGGAGGAGCCCCTCGATGCCTACCCTGATTCACCTTCTGCGTGCCTTGTACTGAACTGGGAAGAGCCGTGCAATAACGGATCTGAAATCCTTGGTTACAACATTGATCTAGGAGACACTAGCATTACCGTGGGCAACACCACCACGCATGTTATGAAACATCTCCTTCCAGAAACCACCTACCGGTGAGTGCAGGGGAGTAGAAATCTGCATCAACACATCAGCACTTGGGGCTCTAAGTAAACCGCTGGGGGAAAATGACCAGTGAATGTCCTCTCCTAGCTGTTTCTAAGAGCCCAGATGTCCAGGGTCTTGTCTCACCTTGATCCCTCAGGCCAGAAGACCTGTGAAAAAGCCACACGGGTGCAGGGACTCACTGCACAGTTTTGTGTCCACTCTGACCCACACCTGTCTCTACCCCAGAGTGGACTCAAATCCTCAAGTCAGTCCTCTGAACACTCAAGTCAGAAATTATAAAAGGTCTTTGGCAATACGTTAGCCCAAGAATTTGGCTTCTTCCAGACATTGTGCCGACCTTAACGGTGGCTTAAATGATGATAAAACTTTTAAGATTTCTAAAAGGATGGCATTAGAGATATGTTGACTTTCATTAAACAACCATAGGTTGTTGTTTCTAATAAAAAAATATCTAGAGCTCAAGGGTTCAACTGAGGGAACACATGTTGAGAATCATTGTTTACTAAGGAAATGCCAGGTAACCGCTGAAATTATCAAAAATATCTTCCACATACCAGAAAGCACCTCAGAGGATAGTTCTGTTATGGAGAAGATGAAAGGGCTTAGTAGTGTAGTAAGCTCACTATGGAAAGGTGAGCTTAGATTTGGGTAGTAAAACCTCAAGACCCTATTTTAAAAGTGTTTAATGAATGCAGCATAAATAATTTAATTCAGTATTATTATGCCAAGGCTAGTACATTGAGCTGAATGTGAAAAGAAACTCACATTGGGAGAATGCCACCTTTTCCTTATAAGATAGCTTTCAACATACCATTTTAGACAGATGGCAATTTAATAGCTTTAGAAAAGGCAAATGTTTGGTCCTAGTCATACAGTTGATCTTGGCAAAAAAAAACACAAAAAACAAAAAAAAACTTTAGACTGTCTTTGCTGGCCAATCAATAAATTATAAATTGGACATTACATACTTGAGGTAAAAACAGTTCATACTTGCTTTTTCTTTTACATCTTGAAGTAGAGGCTGATTTTTCAAAATAATAGCCTACCAAATGAATGAAAATCAATCAAAACCTTTTATGTTCAATATCATTCTATAGTAGTTTGTTTTATTTCTGGTTAACATGTAGGACAATTTTACATACCCATTTCTGTTTATATACAAATAGACAAAAAATTTCAAATATGAATTATCATATTTAAATTGTTTCTAGTTTTAATCCATTGTTCACTTAATCTGAATTACATTTTGTGAGTCAGTATTTATCATTTAATAATAGTACATTTTATATTTTATATCATGAAATAATAAACTAAATATTAGGGACCAAGTTCAATTAACATTTTTACTTGCTAATGTTTATAACTAAGATATTGGTGCGCCAGTATCAGTAAATGAGTATTTTTTTCAATAAAGAAATATAAACAATAAAAAAATAATAATTCATACTTAAGACCAACCGGTTTACAGCTTTAGGAATTTTAGTTTCTATAGCACACAATTGGGTATACTATATAGTATTAATAGAACTATGTTCAAACCACAGTCTTGTTGTTTTATGTTTCAAAAACATAATTGCAATAATTATAGTGAAATACAGAATGAGTATTTCAGGGAACCAAAGGTATAATTTTGGCCCAATCAACTTTTAATTCACCTTTTTTCTGTCCTATAAATTGGTTAAAATATAAGTGAACAGATCATGATGTTCTAGATAAAAATATGTGGAATGAAACATTTTAAGCAGACCATGGAGCTTGGATAAAAGACTTGTTTCTTTTGTTTGATTTTTTTTTTTTTTTTTTTTAAGCCTTCAGCAGTTACATATTGTTCTCATACCAAGGTTATTCTTTCTCTGTGTTGCCAGGACGGGGTTGTACACCTCTCTAGTAAATGTCCTAATGCGAAAAAGCTTTTTCAATGGATTGGTCATTTCTCCATGGGTGCTATTAAAGCAAACTACCCATTGGCTTGCTGACACACTCTGTAGAAATTTCAATTCTGTAGGAATTACAATGCTACTTTTAAAGGCATTCCTTTAAGTTTATAATTGAGTTCGAAATTGAATTTGTCCTTTAGTTTGAAGGAAAACAGTATTATTAAAAATGAAAACCTAACTTTGCTTTGTATGCTTCCAGCCAAGTAGTCATAGATTTGGCAAGATAAGAGGGTCATCGGATCACCTGGTATCACTCCTTCCTGGTCCTTCTATGGCTTGAGCATCTTCAGTGACAGGAGCAGTGGTTCTAGCTTCCACTCACCAGACAGTCCATTCTATTTGTGGATAAACCTCTCTATATCTAAATCTATTTGTGGATAAACCTCTCTATATCTGAATCTATATCTAAAATCAACTGCTGGCCTTAGAACTTCCTCAACAACAGTGATTTTCGAAGTGTGGTCCCTGGACGAGTAGCATTAGCATCATCTGGGAACTCGATAAATGCAAATTATCAGGCTCCACCCCAAACCTACTTAATTAGAAAATCTAGGGGTGGGGCGTAGCACTTTGTGCTTTAATTGGCCTTTCAGAAGATTTTGATGCTTATGAAAACTTGAAAAGCTTGGCCCTAGAGCAGCGATTCTTAAATGTCAATGTATATAAGAGTTGCCTGGAGAACCTTTTCAAAATACAGGTGTCTGAGCCCTACTCCTGTAGACCGCAGTTGGCCCCACAGGGGGCCTAAACATCATTATGTTATAATGACAGCTGTCTCTTATTTAACCATCCCACCATCATTTACACTGTCTTCACTAGCATAGGTTTTCTATAACTGCCTCCATCCTCTTTGAGTGTTGTTAGGTTTTTGGTGACCTCTCTGACGTGCAGTGCCCGTACCTCCAGGAATGGTCTGGTTGACTGGCTCAGAGCAGACCAGGACTGTTGTCTTCCTTGTTCTCCGTACTGAGCAGTTAGTGAGATTGCCTGAGATTACTTTTTTAAAACAACCTTATTATATGCCTGACTCATACTGAACTGGCAGGCAACCAAAACTTAAAGTAGATTTGTTTGTTATGCTCATTTGTACTCCTTTTGCTAAGTACAAAAGGCTTAAAAATAACATGTATTGAGCCCTTACTATATGGTAAGCACTATGTTAGGCTGCCAAGAAGTGAATCATAAATCATTTTGTCGTAACAAGGTGAGGTGGGCTTTACTAGGAGACAAGTTCTGAGTAGTTCAGTGGTAGCAGACTGGAGTCAGGCAGCCTAGACTTCAATCCTATCCCTTATTTATTGTCTCTGCAAACTTTAGGAAGTTACTTAAGCTCTCTGTGCCTCAGTCTCCTGACCAATAAAAAGGGGATAATAATTTTCACTACTTAACAGAGTTGTTAGGTATTGTAGATAAGAGGTCAGGTACCTAGTATGGGGCCTGACACATAGTAAATAAATTATCAGAAAATCTGTTGTTAATGTTTGGTAGGAAAGAAATGAACTGAAAGATGGGTCGTAACCAGATTATAGGTAGAGATCTTATCTGTAGAAACCTGGCATTATCCCTCAAGGTTTTTTTTGCCTCCAGAGCAGGGTATGAGAAGAGCAAGTCTCAGTGCCTGGAGCTGGAATGGTGGCATTGGTGTCAAAGGAGCTTTCAGGAGCAGGAGCTTGGTGGGAGGCCAGTTCCGACTCCCCTCTCCAGGAAGCCTTCTATGAATAACTTTACTCTGAGCCCATCTTTTCCCCGCCAAAAGGGATTTTCTGTGTTTGCTATTATTTCATACTTCAGATGTTTTCTGATGATGATTCTCTTCTTTCATATTTTTCTTCATTAGATGATAGTCCAGGGCAGGGCTGTTGTAAAAGCCAGCCCATCTTCTGCTTCTCAGGCCTCTCCTACCCTAGTCCCTCCGGCTGCGGGTCCTCTCGGTCTCCTTCACACTCACACCCTCAACATCCTGAGTTCTGGGATGGCCAGTCCTGATGAGGGAAGTCTTCCCAGCTAAGGATGGTTTGTTTTGAAAGTCATTCTTCTTTTAATATATTTTGTAGTAGAAATTTGATTATGTATATAAAGTGCATTGCAGAAGGCTATGATCTTCTAAAGCATGAGTGTATTTGGCATATAAAATTTGATCCTTTAATAGTGGATTTTTAATCAAAATTTATAAAGAATGCGGTTCTTTATTTGATTTGTTTAATCAATAATATTAGTATATTGATGAATATTGCAGACTCCCGGAAACATGAAGAGATTTTTCACATCAGCCTGGCCAAGATAAAATTTGCTTGGGGTTACATCACTTCTCCAAATTGGAAAGGAAAATGCTACTTCCCTTGTACTTAATTTGCAGAGCTGAAGATTTTTTAAACAGACATAATGCAAATTAAACAAAACAGAGACCTGCAGATTTTATCTAGGTTTCAAGATTAGCATGTTACTTGAACTAAAGAGAAAACTTCTCAAGTTTGGGTTTTGGATAAACTCTAATTAATCTAATGAAACTTAAAACTCAATTTTTATTTTCTGAGGTGAATTCTTGGAGTGGTTCCTCAGGTTAGTGTTTTGCCCATTAGTCCAATGTCACCTCTCACTGAATTAGGAAATTATTTTCACATACTGTGTTTTTCACCCTAAACCAAAACAAACAGCAACTGCCTCAGTCCTCATTCAGCTGTCTCAGCCTCCCATGCTCAGAGGCCTTATATTTTCCCCATAATGCAACATCGTTTCATTCTATTTTATCAGTTCCTCAATTGTTTTCCATTTTAAATGTTACATCATCATTAGAAACAATTAAAGTTAGCTCAGTGCATCAGCTATGCACGTAAATGTTCATGTATTTTTGCTGAAACAAAATGTGTTTTTGTCAAAATGTAGGATAGGTTGAATTGAGCATTTTAAAATCTAGATAGTTGATTTCAGGGCCAGATGCTGCTTGAATAAAGTGAAGTAAACTTGTTGACTCTTCTAAATGCCTGCTTCCTTGGCAGACGGTCATTGGTGAACTGAAAGTGTAGTTTGAATTAAACATGATCATTTGGTGGGATTGGTAGCCATATTTGGTCCCTGTTACGATATGACCGTATGGTATGCCAGACACACAGGGCCTTTGCACCTAAAGGGAGTCCTGTTCACGCCTGGATCTAACGTGTGTCTGACACGACCTTGCTGAGCTGCAGTTTCTTCACTTGTAAAACAGACAAAGTAGCTCCTACCTTATGGGGTCAGCATAGAAATCAGAGATGATATTGTAGATGTCAAACCTAGCTTTCAACCCCTAGTGGCCACTCTGTCATTTAGATCAAGTTATTTAACCTCTCTGCGTTTAACTTTGGTTTCCTCATCTCTAAAAGCAGATGTAATAGTACTTCCCACTCTAGTGCATTTTCTGGAACAGGGCAAGTTCTCAATGTGTGTAGTGATGGTTGCCATTGTTGTTTTCTTCAATTGCTGAGATCTTTGTCTCACTCTCACCTTGCTGTGGATAGCTTATACAGAAGCCCATCCTTTCAGCTGTTGGTGAGTCCTTGGCCATTCCTTGGAGGAAGTGGGATCAGCAGGTTACTCATGTTATAAAGTGAGGTGGTGTAATAGTGCAGCCGCAGTGAGACCTGCCCCTGTGCCAGCACTTTTGGCAAGACGTAGCACTCCCAAAGAAGTCATCAAGATCATGACTCCAAAAATGAACACTTGAAAGTTTGCTAGTGCTTTTGGCTGTCTTGAATCCTCTCCTGATTTTATTGTAGAGTATAAAGTATTAAAAATTAGAAAATACATAAATCCCTTATCTTAGTTAAGTAATCTTCTTTGCAATTGCAGAAAAAAGTCACTGTCCCCATTTTATAGATAAGGAAACTGTTACATAAAAGTGTTCAATAATTTCTCCAAGGTCTCCAAATTGATGAGCAGGATTCCCAGAGAAGCTACACTGCTAAAGAGTGTTAAATGCTACCACAGTTTTCTTGGTCGTGGTGGTGGTGGTGGTGGTGGTGTGTGTTAAAGCTAAGATTATATGCCTAGGAAATATACGCAGTGAAAGATTGGAAAACCATAGAGCTAAAGATATAAAGAACCTAGTACTTACCAAAATACTAGGGAGGCTTTGAGGAAGTAAATGAATTTACAACAGAAATCAAATACCAAATCTAAATTTATTTTTGTATCTTGATACTTGTATCTTCTAAACTATTTTTAAATTCTTATAAGTGATTTAAATCTCTTAGCAATTTTTTTCTTGAATAGAATAGAACAACAATCTTAAGGAACTCATTACCTTATTTTCTTTTGTGTATTAAAGTAGCTAAGAGCTATTCAGTGGCACAGAGCAAAGGGTAGGATCCCCTAGAATGCAAGGTAAGCCAGCAGATGGCAGAAAGGATCTTGGCCTCTGGAATCTGGGAATGTTTGTACCTAGAATAAAGGGAAGGAATGGTGGTTTGGACACTGGAAGGACCTTAATATAAACCTTGTAGGTGAGGAAATGTGTTACACTGTTGAAGAAAGACTAAAACTTAATGTCCGGCTTAATTTCCTTTTCCTGAGAAGGGGAAGAGGGTAGTAATTTCTACCATCATGATGACTGCCTTTTTAAAAAGATTTTTCATTTCCAGTTGCAGAAAAATATGTTACATTCCAATCATAGAAAGAAACTCTTGTATTAATACCATAAAGCAATCTTATAAGACTCATGTGGGAGGCAAGGAAGAGTTTTAGTCGTTCAGTGTTATACCGAGAGACTTACATTGCTTTATCTACAGAAGACTTGATGCAACCCCAGTGTAATAGAATCTGGGAAAAGTAAGGCCCTTTGTGATGGAGTTTTAGCTCTACTTTATCAGAGATGAGTATTTACTACATTCCAAACTATGAGGCAGATCTTTATCTAGTTTTAGGTGATTATAAGTAGAGCTGCTGTAAACATTTGTGTGCAGGTTTTTGTGTGAACATAAATATTAATTTTTCTAGAGTAAATACCTAGGATTGGGATTGCTGGGTCATGTAATAAGTATATATTTAAAAGGAAACCGTTCTCCTATGTGGCCATGTCAGTTTTCATTATCACTAGCAAAATAGGAGAGTTCCAGTTGTACCTTATCCCTGCCAGCACTTTTTTAACATAATGGTATTACATTGCCAATTTAGTTTGCATTTTTCTAATGGCTAATGATGTCAAACATGTTTTTGTGTCCTTATTTGCCATCTGTATTTCCTCTTTGGTAGAGTGTCTATTCCAGTCTTCCGCCCATTTTTAATGGATTATTTCCTTAACTGAGTTTTGGGAGGTCATTATACATTCTGGATACAAATCATTTGTCAGATGTAATGTTGGCACATATTTTCTTCCAGTATCTATTTGTTTCCATTCTCTTAGCAGTGCAAAAGTTTCAAATTTTGATGAAATCCAGTTTTTTATTTTTTTCTTTTATGTAAGATCATGCTTTTCATGTCATATCCAAAAACTCTTTACTTAATTCTAGGTAGTAGGTTTTCTTCTGTGTTTTCTTCTTAAAAGTTTAATATTCTACATTTAGATCTGTGGTCCCTTTTGAGCTAAGTTTTGTGTAAGGTGTGAGGTTGAAGCTGAGGTTTATTTTCTTCCTACTGATATCCAATTATTCCACCACCATCTGTTGAAAAGACTGTCTTTTCTCCGTTGGATTGCTTTTGCATCTTCGTCAAAAGTTGATTGGCCACGTTTGTGTAGGTCTATTTCTGGAGTCTCTATTCTCTTGTATTGATCTAGGTGTTTTTCTTTTCACTGATACCACACTCTCTTAGTTACTGTAGCTTTATACTAAGTCCTAAAATCAGGTAGTGTGATTCTTCAAACTGTATTCTTATTTTTAGACTTTGCATTAGCTATTTTAGTTCCTTTGCCTTTCCACATCACTTTTTTTTTTAATGTATAAAGAAAAGAGATTGGTTTGGCTCATAATAAACTGTAGGCTGTACAAAACCTTTGGTTCTGTAGGCTGTACAAAAAGTGTGGTGTCAGCATATGCTTCTAATGAGGCCTCAATAAACCTTTAATTATTCGGTCTTCCTAGGCCTCTGGAGGAGAGGGGCTGTGTCTCCAAGATTTCTGAAATGCCTTTAAGGGCTTTTTCCCATTATCTTGAATATTAGTACCAGGCTCCCTTTTAATCATGCTAATCTCTCTAGCAAGTGGTTGCTCTACAGACTGCGTTGATTCTTCTCCTGAAAGTACTCTTTCCTTCTCTACCACATGACCAGGCTGCAAATTTTGCAAATTGTTACTCTTTGCTTCCCTTATAATTGTAAGTTCCAACTTTAAGTCATTCGTTTGCTCCCATATCTGATCACAGGTTGTTAGAAGCAGCCAGGTCACCTCTGGAACACTTTACTCCTAGAAATTTCTTTTGTCAGATACCCTAAGTTATCACTCTACCAAGGAGGAAGTTCAGCCTTCCACAAAGCCCTAGGACATGGAAACAATGCAGCGAAGTTCGTTGCTCCACTTCCCAAAAGTTCCTCATTTCCATCTGAGACCTCCGCAGCATGGCCTTCACTGCCCATATTTCCATCAGCACTTTGATCATAACCACTTAATCAGTGTCTAAGGAGTTCCAGACTTTCTTGTCTTCTTCTGAGCTCTCCAGACTCTTCCAGTGTCTGCCCATTACCCACTTCCAAAGTCAATTCCACATTTTCAGGTATCTTTATAGCAACCCTCTACTCCTCAGTACCAATTTGCTTTGAGTTCATTTTGTGTTGCTCAAACAATTCTCCCACCACAACCTCCCAAGTACTGGGGCCACAGGCATGTGCCGCTATGCCCACTAAATTTATTTTTTTGTAGAGATGGAGTCTCACTAGGTGGCCCAGCCTGGTCTCAAACTCCTGTACTCAGGCAATCCTCCTGCCTCGGCTTCTCAAAGCACTGGAATTACAGGTGTGAGCCACTGTGCCTGGCCTAAAATAACATTTTATATATACATTTTAACTCTTTGATTTTAAATTCATAGATGATAAAGGTAATATCTTTCTTATTCATAACTTTGTGCTGCACATAGAAAATATCCAGCTAAGATTTTTGCACATCTGGATGGCATCCTGTTACTAGCAATATCTGCATGCTTAGCTCTAGTTAAAGACTTGCAGAGATTGTTGGATGAGGCTGGCAAAAGGGAGACATGAAATGTCCTATTGATGAGTTGTCCTTTGTTTTTTGACTTTGAAGGATACTCATTTGTTCCTTCATTTAGTTTACTCTTGATAGCTCACCTACTTCCAAAACTGACCATGAGGTAGCTGAAGGGTAACTAGGACAAAATATAAAGCATATCTTTAGGATATCTTCCCTGAGACAACAAACCTATTTTTAAAAAATTAAAGAACTAAGAGATATCTTGCTACCGTGCTTTTTTGCTATTATTATTATTTTTTTTAATGGAGACTATAGTCTGTCCACCTAGCAACCCCATGCTTCTATTTGTCTTGAGTTACTTTAACTTGTTTTTCTTCATTCTATGTTATTGCTTTAGGGGCAAGTAATAAATACTATGCTCAATGTTTATTTCAAATGAAGTATTGCTGCTGCTTTAACCTGCATTGTCTGTATTTTTTTTTTTTCCTTCCTCTAGGATCAGAATTCAGGCTATAAATGAAATTGGAGCTGGACCATTTAGTCAGTTCATTAAAGCAAAAACTCGGCCATTACCACCCTTGCCTCCTAGGCTAGAATGTGCTGCTGCTGGTCCTCAGAGCCTGAAGCTAAAATGGGGAGACAGTAACTCCAAGACACATGCTGCTGATGACATGGTGTACACACTACAGCTGGAGGACAGAAACAAGAGGTGAGGTGGGGGTGAGGATGCTCCTGAAGCTTCTGTGACTTTGACTTGCGGGGTGAAATCTCAATCATACATTCTTATTTGCTTGCACTAAGACCCTCTTCCTTCTTGTTCAGAGGCTTCCTTTGACTTGAGTCCTGCGTTTTATACCTAGAGTTGTTCCCTTTATTCTCCATTTGGAATTTCTAAACATTCTAAAGATCCTGATTTCCCTACATTAGATAATATGCACTTTTTTTTCCCCCTTTCATCAAACCAGATAATGGAGAGAAATTATCTAAAGAAATTGTCAAATTCAAGTTCACACTATGTAATAGCATTATATTAGTCATGAGTGCAGAGGGAAATAAGACCCAGGAAGAGATGTTACCTCTTTAAATATTCAGTAACCATCAGGACAAACATGTTTACCAATGTGAAATAGCTGTGGGTGATGTACAGATGGGGATTGTACTCTGTAACTATGGGCAATGCAGTATCAAATTAACCAGAGCAAATAGGAGATTCTTCATAAGACTCTGTACCCAGGAAACCCTCTTGGCTGTTCAAATCAAATGTAGCCTTTCACATAGTATTTGTTTAACCTAACTTCATTTTCTCTGAAAATGGCCGATCAGAAGACAGTCAGCCAAACTGTATTTAGAAATAATCCGATGTCAAGCAAAAGTTAATGGTGACAGAATGTTCTGTTACCAAAAGTCCTAATCAGAGAATCAGGTAAAGCGGATGGGAGAGCACCATAAAACCAAGACAACCAAAATGCTGCTACTTCCCTGCTTACCTACTGACACACAAAACCAGTGTCAGTATAGAAGCATTTCTGTCATTTCCTTTTATGCATTATACTATTCTGTTCTACACATATGGAACCCGTTCTAATTACACAGAAAACCCTGTCCCAGTCTCCACCCCCTACTCTTCAGTCAGGCACTCTGATGGATTTCAGTACAGTGGAGCCCTGTGGGCCTTCAGTGGAAACCAAGATTTAAAATCACATAAGACCCTACCTCTAGGAGCATAATAATCAATTTTAAAAATGGCCATAGAACGTTAGTGTCAGGGGAAAAAAGTGCTTTGGGAGTTTGAAGGAGGCAGAGACCATCTGGTTTAAAAGATCAGGAAAGGTTTCTTGAAAGATGTGACATTTGAGCTTGACTTTGGAGGACCTGGCAAACCTGGTAATTTTAATGACAGAATAAAAAGGGATTATCCTCTTGGAAATTAGTTCTAGTGAAGAGAACACAGAGAAGGTAAGGCTTCCTTTAATAGGTTCATGAAAGATTAAATTCATATTCATTGATACACAAGATCATTCATCTTACTGTGCTATATGTGCCTTCGGATGTGTTTTCATGGGCTTATTATTTTACTGGCTAGGGACTACGCAACGGGAGAGGGCTGGCAAGAACAGGAATTGTGAACTAACAGAAATCACAATACATGTATAAAACTAGCATTGGGGGAAATTTTTAAGTGTCTTTTCATTTTTCCCAGGCCTGTGTCTTCCATTGGTGGTAAATCCTTAGAAAATAGCTTCTAGTTGTGCTGTTTTAGAAAAAAGGGAAGCACAGCAAAGTTGTTGAAACTGGTAGCTAGCTGAATAGGGATAAAGGCCAATGCTTCCAATTCCCTGTACCCTGCCTCCACTGCTGTCTTAGAAATATGGGAAGTGAAGACTCTGCCCCAAGAAGGGCACCCCCTCTTGCTGCATTCCTGCCCTGTGTGGGGCGGCAACCCACTAGTGCCTCATAGGGAAAACCATAGAAACATGTAGTCTGATCCAAGGTTTTCCATGACACGGTGGCTCCTGGGCACAGAACAAAAGCTCCCCAAGCACTTTTCCAAATGAGGTTGCTGGCATGAGGCATTTAAATATGCCAGACAAAAAATAGTGCAGAATCTAGTAATCAATACATGTTGTTTCTTCCCCCCTCAAAAAGCCCAAGGCTTGCCTAATCAAATAAATGACTTGCCTAAATTTAAATGGCAATTTAAGAAAACTTCACATTAGGAACAGTATTTTTCTTAATTATAGGAGCTAGAGTCCAAATTTATCTTTTTAAATTAGATTTGTCAATGCTCTCAGAAAGTTATTAAAGTGATGGGAATATTAAGCATAATAAATTCTCATTCTATTTGTGAATAATTTTCCTGAGATTTAATAGAATGAAAACAGCCTAATTTTAGTTTGAAGATGACCTTCGTCATTGTCTTGAAACTGAACTCTTGTAGTGAGTGGCCTTTTGAATTCAAGCCTTTAACTTTGAATCTTGGCACATGGATATCAAGGAGAAACAATTTGAGTTGGATACATCGTAATGCTTATTATTAGCATAGCCTTTGTCAATCTAGTCTCCTTAAGGTTCTTTAGGACCTGGCTTCTGCAATTGAAAAGAACAGTGTCTTCCTCCCAAGGGGTAGCTGTCTTTTTCATTGAACTTGTTGTTAGAGGAGCTTCTAGTTGTAAAGCACATATTCTTTAGCATATGTGTTAATTTCATTAACCACCAGTAAGTTCGTCTTATGCACGTGGCCAGAATAATGATATATCCAGCTTGTGGCCAAGGCGAGAACCATAGATAGGCTTAATTGTTATTCTACTTCACTTTTTTACCTGCGGGCTCTCAAAGAGATTTTTTTCCTCTTAAGTTTGAGCATATTTCTTGTAAATAAAAGGGATCCCAAAGAGCATCTTGTGCAAACCCTTGGCTTAAGACAACTCAACCTAAAATTCATCTAGATCACCTGGACTCTCTATGTTGAAAGGATTTTTCCCCCCGGAATAGGACATTTGTTTCCCATCTATTCGGGCTTACGATACTGAAGAGTCCTAGTCCATATTTATGAGGGAAGCAGCCTGAAAGTGTTACCATGAACACTTTATAAACAGGCATTGTGGGCCTTTGAAAAGAAAGCTGCTGATGTCTGAGTTGTATGGTAGTCCTAACCAGCTGTTTAAGTGTTCTTCTTAAGTATATTTTGTAACAGAAGAAAAATGAAAATTAATATATCTGTGCTTCATAATTATCATGTTAAAGAGTTGAGTCAATTTTAGCAACTATTGCTAAACTTCCTTATTCATTAAATAAAGGGGTTAAACTAGAAGACGATCTCTGATATCCTTTCACCTTTTCACCTTAAAGCAACAAATCTTTGTAGAGTATTTGTGAATTAAGTCCCTTGTAAATGATTGGGACGTGTTGCCTCTTTTCCTTTATATTTTTAGCTTCTGCTATTCATAAGTAAGAAAATAAGAAAAATACTAACTTCCCTTAAGAGTAACTACTTAATGTCCAAAAACCCCTCAGGTTCTACAACTATGATGCACTGATTTATGATGTTTATTTATATGCCTCTCACTCAGAAAATTTGAAGTGACCAAGAGATTTACAAATGCAATGTTCAGCCAAAAATGTTTTTAACCTTCTAAAGGATAGTTATATTTTTATCATTGTTATTTTGTTATTGTTGTTGTTTTTACAGCCTCCCTCCCAGGAAACTTCTATTTATTGCATGCCTACAGAGCGCTAAGTGTTGAGAGCTCTGCCTACATTATTTAGTTCTTGAATAAAAAGGGAAATATTTTCTAGAAAGTAGGGTTTGTACCAAAGCCTTCTACCATTTAGGTGAAAAAAAATACATTGATAAGTTGATTTGATTTCAACTTACAATTATTGGAGTTTTATACATCAAATAGAGGCACTGCTTAAGTATTAGATGGACAAAGATGACTAAGATAGATCCCTTAAGGAGCTCACAGTCTGGTGGGTGATGGTAGGACACAGATGCTTTAAAGCAAATTGTGATGTGGAAGGCCTAAAGATTGACACGTGCACAGGGTATAGAGGGAAAATTGAAGAATGGCATCTAAGGTGGGCTTAAAATCAAATGAACACTTCTTAGAAAAGATGATAAGTTGAGTGAGTCTTAAAAGGATGCTAATCTTGTAACCTGATGTCTGGGGAGCTTTGGGATGGAGACTCGTGATGAAGACTTGGGATAGGATGAAAATTACAGACAAAACTTCCAAAGTACAGAAAGGTACCCTGAGTCTTTCTCCAGGTAACTGTCTTTATTTGGTTATTTTCAGACCTGGTGCTTTCTTTCCCGTTAAGTTTGGGCATGTTTCATGTAAATAAAGGAGATCCCAAAGAGCATCTTGCCCAAACCCTTGGCTCAAGGCAAATCAACCTAGAATTCATCTAGATCACCTGGACTTGCTATGTTGAAAGGATTCTACCCCCGGGGATAGGACATTTGTTTCCCATTTATTCTGGCTTATGATACTGAAGATTCCCAGTCCATATTTATGCAGGAAGCAGCCTTAAAGCAGTGCTTCATATTTATGGAACTAAGTTCATTTCATTGATAAGATTATGATCATTCAATCATCGATTTTTTTTTTTTTTCTTGAATTGCTACTATGTGCTGGACCCTATGAGGTATGTGGACTATCTATGAGAGCTTATCTTGCTGAGGGAGATAAATTAACATTAAACAATAAGCAGACAGTAAAAGAGACAGCAGACAGCAAAACAAAAATTAAATTAGTTTGGCCTTAGAGTGATTAAGTCTATTATTCTTAACAGATCCAGCACAGAAGATATGAATGTCTTTGGTTCCTGTGTTATACAAGAAAAATATATCTCCAAAGTAAACATTTCCATAAAGCTGCATTAACCTCATACAGGCACTAGAATAACAGGATCAGCTTGTGCGTTTTAAGATTGTAGCACTGTGCCGATGACTTTGAAGATGCGTTTATCTGTGTTAAATGAAATGTTATGCTGCCCTAACAGAATTGGAGTTGATGCTGCTCCCTGTCCTGACCCTTGTGGGTCTATGTTCCCCGATAATTGTATACAGCACTGAGGCAGGAAGAACGTAAATTCCAGGAATGCATTTATGGTTAATCTGTTGTTGAGGTTTAGTCAGACAGCCAGTGTTTTTTAAACCAAGGCTCCATGAAATTGGGCTGGAGGAAGAGGGATCTAATAGAGCAG